TTTTTTTTTTTTTAAGCTGGCAAGACAGAGGCAGAAAGTGTGAGAGACCCTTCCCTCAACCCAGCCCGGCCACCCCCTTCTTGGTAGTTATAATCCAGATGTGTCACGGCGCGGACACGAGAGTGTTAATACCTACCGAATCGGCTGTGGTCTTTCCTGGTTCCCTGGATAGTACCATTGGGGAAGATTTCCAAGTGAAATCCAGTCCTGCAGTAGAGCTGCCTCCGCCTGAGAATCCCCTTTAAATGATCCAAGTCCGTGACTGCCGGTCCCCGGGGAAGCCCCCCTGCTTCGGACTGACCCAGGTGGTCACTTAGCAAAACCGGGCTGTCCACCGGCAACACGGGCACATTCCCAAACGGCACTGCATCCTGCACACCGAAATAGTTCCCAACTTCACCTAAGGGAGCCATCAGAAGGCTGGGCTGTTGGAGCACAGGGATAAACAATAATGATGGTGCCAACCCGGGAAATCTTAGGCGAGGTATATCCAACTCCCCTCCCGTACTGCGGTTGCAGAGACGGGGGGAAAAACAACACGTTCTTTTCTTCAATCCATGAAATGCATAAATAAAAGTAATCTGCCGTTTCACTGGCACAGGTTCAAGGTCAAACCACTAATAGCCTAAGAAACCAGCGCTGTATACTCACACACCGACACACTGATAAACACATCTATGTATCTCTCTGGGTAGAGCCCCGGCTCCTAGCAGGCAGGAAGGTCTGCATCCCAGCCGATGGTCATACTGGGGTAATTTCGTAGTTTCTCCATTTGGTTCCAGATCGGAATGACCGTAGCAACTTCAATGCCTAGGCGTTATTATAGGATTTTAAGATGCACCGGCTACGTCAGAATCCACGGGTCCTGACTCCGGGGAAGGCATGCGCCGTTTTTATTCTAACCGACTCTGCAGACATCAGCAGGAATCCTTCCAGGAGGGAAAAAAAAATCTCACGTTGGTAGCGCCGAAGACTCTCCCCTCCCGATCCCCCCTCCAAAAAAATCAATAATAAAATAATAAAACAAAAAGAAAACTTTAAGCGTCCAAAGCTGGGATCCCGAATCGTGCGGCGGCTCGGCGGAGGTCCATTGGTTCAGCGCGGACGGCCAGCGGCGAGCGAGGGAGCGGTGTCCACAGATCGCGTGCGCCCTGCGGCCGCGAACAGGTGTTGCCGCGCGGGCTCCAGCCTGGTGACGGGCGGAGCGCTCGTCCTGCGCAGCCCCGCCGGCGCGCAGAGTGGCGCAGCAGCGGCATTGGGCCGGGTTTAAGGTAGTGCTGCGCCGCCCGCGCGCCCCGCGGTCCTAGCGCCTGCCCTCATCAGCACGCTGCGGCAGGCCCAGCGCGGCCAGCCGGGCGCGACCACCCGCGGACCAGCCCCGAACCCCGCGTTACAAAGACGCTCGGAGAGACGCAGAGGACGCAAGCCCTGAGACTCCAAGTTCTCCTGCGGAACTGGAGCCTGGACCCCAAAACTTGGCTCGGCGCAGTGATGAAGGTTCAGGCAGGAGTGGGAAAGTAGTTTCGCGTGGACTCTAATATTGCATGAAAAATACAACTTAGTTAAGGGAGTTGGAGGGAAGGGGTCTGACTTAACGACATTGAATGGACATCGCAGTTTCTCCTTCATTCCTCTGCGGGGCTAAGGGTACTGCAGGTGAGACGAGCAGACGCGACCCCAGCCCCCCCCCC